ACTCACGAGCTCCCAGCCACAACACCACTAGCAAAGTCCCCCCGGCTTCTCACACCCAGATGTGATGCTGGGCCCAGCTGAGCCCCCATCCCAGCCCCTGGCAGCACCCATGGGTGAGGGGGAACCAGGTGGGAGCTCACATGAGGTGCAGGGGGAAGCAACAGAGTGGAGATGTTTCCCAAAACAGCCCTGGAAGGGATGGTGCCGAGCTGCCAGCTCACCCCCCTGTCACTGCGCTGGTTTATTAAGGGCTGAGAAGCGTCGAGGGGAAGGAGTGACAGATTTAAAATTAACTTGCCAAACTCCCCATCAATATTATGACAATTCCCTGCATCACTTCACTGACCTGACAGCATGAATGGAGCTGTGTGGAGGCAGAGCTGCGGGCTGGCAGCACCTGGGGCGGGCGCCCATCCCTCTCCGTGGTACCCCAGCCTCCTCAAAGCTGTGCTCAGCACCACCTCCAACCTGCGCTTTTCCTTCCCCAAGGCTGGAAAGAAGCTGCAGCCCTGTTTCACAGGTAGGGGTGGGAGAAACAGCATCCCACAAGGACTGATTTCCAATACTTGACATAGTACAGCACGGCATGGCATGGCACAGCATGTCCAGAGCTGTCCTCCCTGGATATGGAGAAGGGAAACCACTAGGTGCTCAGCAGAGTCTATGCAATGTGGGAGCAGCAGCATGAATCCTTTCCCTCTCTCCAGCCACCAAACAATTTTGGCTTCTTATCTGCCCCTCAACACCCTGAAACTCCCCAGACTAGCTGCATCTCTGCTGGGAGGGAAACAAATGGGGGCTACAGGGGTATTCCCTGTGTCCTGGGGCTATGGGAAGCTGGAGCAAGAGCCAGGACAAGAGGCAGAGCCAGAGGCAGGGACAGGAAGGGACCCTGCTCAGGGCAGATGGAGGCTCCTGGGAAGTGCTCTGACATCCTGTTTGCCATGCAGCAATAATCCAGCAAGTAAAGCTGGCTCCACCGGCAGTATTTTGGGATTTCTCCATATTAATGGCATAAAAGCAACAGTCTGAAACTGCAAACGGCTTTTAAACAAAAATCTCTATTCCCTCATGGCGAAGAGACGGCACAAAAACTGATAAAGAACAAACAAACAAACCATTTGGAAAATAATTCCTCAGCGATTTGGGAACGGCACGGAGTTCGGGCTCTGCCCCACCGTGAGGCAACAGGGGGAAAATCGCTCTAATCTAGTCTTTAGTGAGCTGGATCCACTGCTGAGCCTCCCAGCTAGACTGGAAGGTGTGACTGGAATAGATCAGCTCCAATCCCATCTACTTATTAGCACCACACAGTATTTTGTCTTATGAGAAGAACCTTTTTTAAAGAAAGCAGAGGGGTGCCCAGAAGAAGGTGGCTGTGAATGTGCATTTGGCTCAGTGGTGGAAGGAGCAAGGGGGGGTTTTGCTGTGTGGTGGAAAATCCCTCCTCTGACCCCTCTCAAAGCACCCACAAGGGACCACACAGGAGAAGCAACACTGAAGGAGTGCTTTGATTTAAAGCCTTGCAATAAAACAGCAGCATCAGCACTGACATGGGGCACTCCTCTGAGCAGGAACCTTGATGCTGCCATGTCCAACAGATCACCCCAACCTCCGTGGAAATGATTAGTGGTTATTAAGCCACCTCAGTACAGAAAAGGGTGTCCACAGAGCTCCTGACTCCTGAGGGCTGAGCTGCAGGGAGGCTGTGGTGCTCACATCCTGCTGGCCTGGGGCTTCACTGTCATTGATGAGTGGGGAAAGGGTCCTTGGCACCAGCACAAAGGGATGTGGGAGCAGGGACAGGCTCTAGGCAACACAGTAAGTTGTTCCATCAGTCCTGGTGTCTATATGGAGCACGTCTGGTGCAGCATGAACCAGTCTGCCTGCTGCCCAGCCCTGCTGTGGGTACATTCTGGCTGGCGTTTCCCCCTTCCTCCATCCTTCTCTTGGGCATTAACCATCTCCTCAGTCACACCACTGAAATCCCTGGGTGCTCCCCAACCCCCTAGCATAAAGTGACACCAGTTAAAGGGGAAACCCAAAATCTGAGGCAGCGTGTTGCTCTGAGGTCTGGCCCCTCCCCAGGTGTGCAGCCTTCCCACTGCCAGCCTGCTGTGCTGGGTTCCCATGTCTTTCCTTACTCTGCATCCTGAAGGTTCCTGCTGCACATCCCCATCCTCTTCAGCTGGTCAGACACGCTGAAGATGTTGGTGCCTCACCCCAGTGAGGGCCAAGCATGCCCAGAAGGGTGTCAAGGGATGGACCAGGCTGGGTGGGGCCAAGCAACAGGTCAAGAGGCAAGGGGCAGAAGATGATGCCCAGGAAGTTCCACCTGAACACGAGGAAGAACTTCTTCACTGTGCAGGTGACTGAGCACTGGAACAGACTGCCCAGAGAGGGCGTGGACTCTCCCTCACTGGATTGTTCATGAAGTGCCTGAACACAATACTGTGCCACGTGCTCTGGGATGGCCCTGCTTGAGCAGGGAGGCTGGACCAGATGACCCACTGTGGTCCCTTCCAACCTCACCCATCCTGTGATTCTGTGTGACCACACAGCCACCAGAAGGACAGAGACTGCAATCAGTGCTGCAGCCCCTCAGGTGGCAAAGAGACCCCCCTGACAGTAATGGGATGGAAATTCTGTGGTAACTCATAGGTGTTGCCCAGGCCAGAGTGTGTGAGGCAGCTTTTCCCAGCACAAAGGCTCCCTCCCAACACCATGCTGATATGCCTGGCAAATCCAGAATATCCTATTTATTACAGACACTGAAGATGCGGCGACATGGGAAGCAGATACCATTCAAAGGACTGTCACATCTGCATAGCTAAAGGATCCCAGCAGTTATAAATCCCTCTAAAATACTCAGCCCCTTGTTCTGATAGCAGGTTCTTGCTCCTACTTTGCAGAAACAGGCTTTTAATCCCTGGTATTAGGCAGCTTCCTGCTATGTTTCAAATGCACCAAATTAAGGGCTTCTCTAACAGCTGGTGTCTTAATGCTCAGAGAGGTTCTTGAACATCTATGAAAATCAGAGGCAAATTACATCTTTTAGTTAATAATTTCTTCTCCATTAACCTCCTTCTCTTCCCTTGTTAAGAGATGATGTAATGGTGCTTCTACGGCGTAACCCACCGCCGCCCTGGGCAGCCTGGCCGTGGGGAAGGACACTGTGCTCCGGGAACTGAGCCCTCCTCATCACCGCCTGCTGCCTCTGGAGCCGACAGCCTGCATTCAAATGGGAAAGGGCAGCCGTCCTGACCTCCCAGGCTGCTGGAAGTATTTCTGGAGCAAGACGTGCTGCCTCCCTCCAGGCTCTGAGCTCTGCCGAGCCAGTTCATCGCACGCTACAGTCTGCTCCGTGCGGGCAGCTTTGCAGGTTGGCTCTCGTTTCAGACCCGCTTTCCCCTGACCCATCACAGCTGTTATACCTGGGACTAGGACACTGAAAATCCTGTTTGGCACAGCAGGTTGTGCAAAGAACTTGGCTGTCGCTGTGGGGCCCCTCAATGGGAAAAGTTTCCCCACGTTGCACTCCCCGGCCATATCCCCGTCCAGCATGTGGGAAGGAGGAAGGATCACTAACAGCCCTTTCTTTTAGCCACAAAACCTGTCAGCCAGAGGCCCAGGGGCTTTGGGATCTGGCCCCTGGAAGATGTCATCCTAACACCTCAGGTGTTTAATCCCAAGGGCAGGTCCAGCATGAACCACTCCTGATCCAGCCCTGCACTGCCCAAACCCATCATCCCCAGGGCGCCCTCAGAGGGGAAAACTTGGAGAAGCCACATCCCAGGAAAAACCAGTCCCACAGACAACATTGTGTGCTTTCCAGCTGGAATTTAGCCCTGAGGACAGGGGATGCATTTGCTACCTGGAAACATCCCTTAGATCCAACAGTTGCTGGAAAACTTTATCTCTGCAGCCCCTGGCTCTGCTCTGATGGACCCAATGACACTTGTAATGTGTGAGGGAGAGAAAGCAAAGAGGAGTCCAGTGGGAAAACTGCCTTTGTGTCCTGTCAGTTCTCACTTCCAGGAAAGGCTGAGGCTCTGCTGGCTCTAAGCACTGCACTGGCTGCGGCTTTCTCAGCACCTCTGTGCTGATGGAGGTTGTAATGCTTCTGCCATCAAGAGAGCAGAAAGCCAGAGTTCAGCCTGAATCCACAGCCAGGAAAGCTTTGCACTCAGCTGGGGAAGAGCACCCAGCAAAACTCTGTGGTCAGCATGGGTGAACACCCACAGCTCCAGTTAAAATCAGAGGCAGCAATGAGGCCTCAGTGCCCAAAGAGGAAAGAAACACTCAGTGAAAAACACTCAGTGCAGGTGCTGGGCTGGGAAGAGCCATGTCTGGGTGGAAATGTGGGCTGGATTCTTTCCTGACTGTGGTCAGTGCTGCTGCTTTGAAACTCATACACCCACCCTGCCCTACACCTGATCAAAATGCAGCTGCACTCGATAGAACTGAAGAAAAATAACTAAAGAACTCATTGTCCAGCCCTGAATTCAGCAAGCTCTCCTCTGTGAGCACTGCAAGGTGAAGGTATTTACCTTCAGCTCATTTACATTATTTATCATGCTATATCCACAGCTCCTCCCAGTGCTGTAATGGGGACACTGAATAAAACAGCTTGCATAGGCTGAAAATATGCCAAAGGAAATGCTCTTTCCTACTACAGCAATTAAATGTTGGAACTCATTGTCACAGGATATTGCAGAGATGAAAGACATCAGTGTTCAGAAAGAGATGAGGCAACACTACCAAGAAAAGCCCACAGAACACAATTAAAAACTCATCTGATGATAAACACTCTGGCCCAGTAGGGTCCTGTGTTGCTGCCTGGGGGAAGGATGAGCAAGTAGGAAAGCCATAGATACTTGTTGTCCTCCTATTCTCTTCCCCTAGCGAGCATATCAGAGATGCTGGCTTTGTACCACTGGATCTTGGTCCTGTCTCACCATCCTGCTGTTCCCAAGACCAGGAGCAGAACCAGGACATACCTGAAAGTCATCTGGAACACCTGGCCTTGGTTGACATGCTGGGTCCTGTTGTTATAGCCGTGGAGCATCTCCCCAAAAAGGGTGTCGTTGAACTTGGCATCCGACTTCAGGCACTTGGGGCCCTCGCAGATGTCAGAGAGCATCAGGCAGGACTTCCCATCCGGGGCCAGCTTGTACTCCTCCACACACCTGAGGGGCACCACAGGCAACTTTGAGATGGGCCAGGCACAGAGCATCCCACCCCACCAGCCTCTGCCAAGCCCAGCCAAGCCCCACCAACACCTGCAGCAGCTGCCTGAGCAGGAGAAGGGGTCACAGAGCCCAAATCCTCTGCCCAGGCTGGGATGGGCGACCAGCAAACAAGCACAAGGCTCCCAACCCTGCTCCCTCGTGCAGCAGCATGGCCCATCTGCCTGTAGCCAGGGCAGTGAGCACCCTGGTTTAGTGTAAGGTGTCCCTGCCCATGACAGGGTGGTTGGAAAAGACATTCCTTAAGATCCTTTCCAACCCAAACCATTCTGTTTCCAGTCTCTCCTGCCTGGAGCTGCCCCTGCGCTGGAGAGCAAAGCTGAGCCCACTATGCATCTGCTGCTCAGGTACAAACATTCTCATGTCAGAGCAAAGTAAAATCAAGCTCCTGACCCTTTTTCCACCCAGCAGTGCTCTCCTGCAAGGAAGCAGCTCCAGTATGGCTGCTCCTTTGCTCTTTGATCCCACTTTCAAGCATATTGTGGGTAAGATGCACATGCTCACCTTCAACAGACAGGAAGGGAAACTGAGGCAGGCAGCAGGGTGTGATTTAACTGCAGACACTGGAGACCTCAGTGGAATCTTTTGGATATGTCCTTACCCTGCTTTCCTCCTCCTCCTCCTCTTCCAGCTCTTTTCCCAGCATTGTGGCTCCCACCTGACAGGGAAACCTCCATTCCCTGCCTGCCCCTTCCTCCCTGTAGCCACAGCACTCTGCAAACACCACTCCCACCTCCATCCAGGCCTGCTTCCCTCTCCCATTCCTCTACTGCATGTTACTGCTCCAAGTACAACTCCCACCCGTCTGTCACACTTTTCCTTGCCTGTTCCCGAAGTGCAGCTCAGCCTTGAAAAGGGATTATGGAAAAAAATAAAAATAAAAGGAAAAAAAACCCTGGGAAACAGTCTCTGCCCTTAGGGAATGGAAGACTGAAATGCAGATTCCCTGCAGGGGCATGGATGGAGACCATGGAACATCCCAGGGTTTTCTAGATCCTCCCTACAAAGGATGACCTTATGGGTTTCCAACCCCTTCTGCAGGCACAGCACAGGCAGCGTGCTCTCTCTCAGTGACTCAGCCACTCTGTGCTGCTAAACAACAATTAAAAAAAGAAGGCAGTGGAGGGAAAAACCCCACAACAATCCAGCAAAAAGGGATAAATAAAGGAGAAGCTGGCACAGGCAAAGCTCCCTGTGTTCCTCTTCCCAGGGAGCAGCCAGGGCTGCACAAGGTCTCTGCTGCACTTGCAGCAACGAGACTTGACAGGGTAACTCCTCTGAGTTACTGTTAGGAATTTGCTCCCCCTCTTGCTTGTGGGCATTTCCTTCCCAAAAGGGCTCCTTTTCCTCTTCTTCACCTAATCCTTCCCCCTGGGACACGAGGGAGGGTCCTGGCTGTGCCTGAAAGTGTGAACCAGCCATGGGATGCAGCCGGCAGAGCCGGGGTGGGCGATGGATGGCTGCAGCTGTGCAGCATAAAGCCAGATAATCACTGAGCTCCTTTTAGAGCACACTGCAGCCAGGGAGATCTTCCTGAGAGAAAATGCTAAATTGTGTAGGATTATAGGATCCCGGCCAAAATCAGGGATGAAACTCTATTTTAAGAGAGGCACGGGGGGGGGGGGGGGGGGGGGAAATAAATTTAAGAAGTTGTGTTTTTTAAACAAATCCTCCATCTTCCCCCTCCAACACACAGTGTACAATTTTTGGGTCCCTTCACGGTGAGTCACAGATCAAACTGTACCATCACACAGTGGGGAAGAGGAGGAAGGTGCATCTGCTCACACTGCTCCTCACACTTCCATACACTCCTGCCCACAGGCAAACCAGGTGCATCTATTCCCTGCTGGAATTCAGCTCCATGTACAGCCTTTCCCTTGGACACCCAGCTCCGCTGCTGGGCACGCTGGTGGCACAGGAAGGGTGGCAGGGATGGAGAAGGGAAGGGGTTCTATACAGTGGGAGAAGCGGGAGCCTTGGAGGAGACTCACCCACAGAACATGAAGATGGTGCTGGACGAGGGGTCGTGGGGCAGAGGGAGGGTCTGCTGGAGACAGAGCTGCTCACAGCCCCCGTTGAAGCCATCTGAGCAGTCGATCCCTTTGGAGTAGTCATAGCAACCGGTGCCGTCCTTCATGGGCCGGAGGTCCTCGGGGCACTGCAGCAAGAGAGGGACAAGGCAAGGTCACCTGTGGGTCCTCACCTACCCTGGAGCCCCTGCCCAGGGGGTGCCCTCCCAGAACAAGAGCCAGTGCTGCTGAACTTGGTTTACACCTAAAGGAGATGAGTTTGTCCTGGGGGATGGATGGGGCAGCCCCACGGGCCCTGCCTCACCTTCCACAGCCTTTGGGAACGGGGCAAGGACTTGGTTGCTGCCAAAGCCTTGCTCCCCATCCTCCCTCCAGAGGAGGGTGAACCCCCGAGGCAGTGAAATTACACAGCCATGAAGCCTCAAGCCTGTGTGGGGCAAAGTGGGACAACCGTATGGGTTTGTTACCTGTTCCTCCGAGACACAGAGGAGTCCAGTGCAACCCAGAAAAAACACCTCAGCATCCAAGACCAACCCAGAAAACCCCCAAAGTGCTCAGGAATGACCCAGAAAATCATCTCAGCCCACACCAGGCAGGCCAGCAAGCGTGGCTTTGGCATTATCTTCAAAAGGATCTTGCTGCCTGCCCTGGGCAGGACCAGCCCATGGCAGAGCGGGACTGGGGCAGCCAGGATGACATCCCAGGCTCATCAGTTTTCCTCAGCCAAGGCAACCATGATGAGTCACATAAGCTGGAGATCTGGCTCTAGGTTTTAATTCCAGTTCCCCAGCTTGTTTTCCTTGCCCCAGAAGAAAAAAAGCAAGCAGGTGGCAAATGCCATCGATAAATTGTCACCCAGATTAAAGCACTATTCCACTTGCATTATTTATCCCTTTTTGCCAAACACACACGCACACAAACAACAACAAAAAGGCCAGGCCTTGAAAAAATACATAAATCTTGTCTAGGAGCAGCTCACAATTAAAAATGCATTATGGAATTTCTTGAAGATGAGTTAGACTGGAGCTTGCACAGGTAGTGATGAAGGCAGGTTATAAATGGCCTCTGTCAAGCAGAAGAAAGGTTATAAAACCTCTATACTTCGTGCTTAAAAAAGAAAATCAATTTTCCATGTGAGCAAAATGCTGTACATATTAATAAAAGTTCAGGAGAGCCTGGACCCCGTGCTCACCAATGCAGGCAGGGTCCTGACAGGAGATGGGCTGCTGAGCCACACTTAATCTTGGCTACTCAAGAAGCAAACTGCCCATGGGGGACAGCAGAAAGGGGCTATAGGGAGTCCTGGCCCACCCTGAGCAATCAGAGCCCTTGAATGGTTTAGATTGGAAGGGACCTTAAAGATCACTTTATTCCAACCCCCACTGCCAATGGCGGGGACACCTTCCACCAGCCCAGGTTGCTTCAAGGCCCGTCCAACCTGGCCTTGGACACTTCCAGGGATGGGGCAGCCACAGCTTCCTAATATCTATTCTAAGCCTACCCTCCTTCAGTTTAAAATCATCACCCCTTGTCCTATCCTGCTAAAAAGTTCATCCCCATCTTTCTTGTAGGATGAGCAGTTTCTCTCCACCTCCTGCAAAGCCTGTGCCATTTTCCTATGGCAGCAGCACCAAAGCTGCTTCTGCCCTGTCTGCAGCAACTGTGCTGTCTTGATCTCTGTGCCAGTCACCCCTCAGACCCTACAATGCCTCCCATGCCCTCAGCTCCGAAGCTCAGGTGGTCATTGCAAACCTCAGCACCTTCCTTGGGGACACCAGGTAAGGTGGGAAGGGAAGGCACAAGGTTTTTCCAGTCAAAGGATCTTGGCAGCTAAAGGCTCTGGAACAGGGTGCTGCCCATCTCTACAGACTAAGCAGGGTCCCAGAGACACAGTTTAGGAATAAGTAGCCCTGATCAAGCACGAAGCAACAGAAGACACGGGAGCTGCACATACAGAATAACGATGAAGGAGGAGAGGACACTTAGAACAATCTGTGCTTTTCACTGCCTGGGAAATAGAATCAGCATAAGAGTGTCTGTGAATCTGCAGATACAACACTTATCTCCTGTGGTCTCCTCCGTGTCTGCCGGCCCTGCTGCAAGAAGCAGAGCTGTGCAAATTGGGAGAGAGGAGGCATCTCCCTGGAGGACACGGAGGGCTGCCTGGAACAGCATCTTCTGCTCCACGGCACCACATCCACATCTCTGCTGCTCCCCCCACACTGACAGGGATTGGGAGTGGGGGGTCCCAGGGCTCTGCCCAAGCACTCTCAAGCTCCCAAGGGACCTTCCAGGGTGCTGAAGGCAATTGGATGGGGCTGTAAGTCAGCAGGAGCTGCAGGACCACAGCCAGAGGATCAGTCACGGCTTTTATGAGCTGTCACTTTGAATTCTCGCCTTGGCACTGATCCACGTGCTGAGCTCAGCATCTTCCCCAGCCCACAGAGGAAGAAGATGGCTCTTTCCCTGGGACTGGGTTAGTGGGTCACTAAAGCCCTCCCTCCCTTAAGTCCTGCTCTGCTCGAGGCCACCCTTGGGATATTCCTCCAGTTTTGGCTTTCAACCACCACGGAAAGTGTTTCCTTTCAGTTTGTAATTATGCATCCTAATGCACATTAATTAGAGCAGGCAAATAGCTCAGCACAACATTTGCAAAAGAAAGCACCTCCTCCCCTCCACATCCATCCCAGCTCGGAGCAGACCCAGCTCTCCAGCCAGCTCTGTGCCACAGCACAAAGCTCCCCAGGCAGAAAGCTTTGGTAGCCAACACACAAATATGGGATGTGTCCCTGCTCTGTGGGGCTGGGGAATACAAAGATGCCAGGGACAAGAAACCAGGGGATCCAACAAGCTCAGCAACCAGTGCCAGCCTGCAAAACCAACAGGAGAGGCAATAGCAGCCCCTGCACAGAGGGGTTTGCACAGATGAAGAGGTGAATGGGGCAATTTTGGGTATAATAAATCACAGAATGGTTTGAGTTGGAAGGGACCTTATAAATCAACTCCTCTGCCATGAGCAAGTTGCTCAAAGCCTTGTTCAACCTAGCCTTGAACACTTCCAGGGATGGGGCAGCCACAGCTTCTCTGCAATAATAAAGCTGTATAACAGATCTCCCTGCCTCTGGAGCAGAGGATTTCCCATTGAGATGTCCCACCCATAGATCAGAGAAGGGCAAAATCAAAGCCTATTTGGGTGCAACTATATTCTTGCCCACAGGAGTCAGAAGTGACCCAGGAAGAGGCTGGTTTGTGCTAATCCTGACTCCCTGGGCTGTGCTGATGGGTCAGTTCGGGCTCCTGGTTGGCCTTAGAAAATCAGCACTCACCCTGTGTTTGCTGGGCTTTTTTAAAGGAGCAGATCTGTTCTTGCTGACATTGATTTGCCTGGCTTGGGCAGCAGAGAACCAATAATTATGGTGAGTTTAAATCAATGCCCCATCAATTTAGCTGCAGTTCAATTTGCAATCTGCCTTGGCAGTGACACAGGACGGAGGGGCTTTGTTGGAAAATGATTAGAAAATCAATAAGCAACTTGGTCAATAGTTCTGTCTGGGCGATCAGGGGTGGCACGTCCCTCCCTGGTGAGTGGAAAGCTGGCGAGACGTGGTGCCCCAGCAGGTTCTGGTCATCTACTTCTGCATGCCCCTCATCGGGATACAGGATGGATCCATTTATCCAGGGATGGATCCTACACTGTTAGCAGCAATTCAAAAGAAAAAGCTGTTTGTGGTTTACCCTGTTGGACCCACACTGCTTGGGTTCACTTCCAATACCCAGCCTATCTTTCATCCATAGATCTGACCAGCAAAAATATCTCAGGGCTTGGGAAGAGGGTCTGCTACTTAATCCATGCTACGGGGAGGAACAGAGATACAGGGAGAGGCTCCAGCTCATGGTCTGCTCTGAAATGCCAAGGAGAAGCTGTTACCACACAAATGTAATTCCACTGCCTTGCAAATCCACTCTGACTATGCAGAACTGAACTGATTTCTCTGTGACAACAGACAGCCCTGAAAATTGCTCTTGGCATGGGGAAAGAAAACTTAGTTTGTCGTCGTTCTGTGCACTAGCACTGATAACACGGATCCTGCAGGCTAAATGTGACCCACAGCTCCAAGGCCCTGACCCTGCTGCTGCCAGTGGGTTTGTGGAGAAGGAATCACCAGCAGCTCCATGTGTTTTAGCTGATGACACAGCTGGGCAACAGCCCATCCCCTCCCATCCACGCCAGGCAGAGCACCCGGGTCCTCATTCCTGTGACTGCAGTCAGCAAATGAATTCTGAGTACACACAGGGAATGGATGTGCTGAATAAGAAGTGCTATTTTTATCTGGTTTGGTTTTTTTTTTTTTTTGAGAAACATGCTTTTTTGCCTTTTAAATGACATCTCCAAGGTGACACGGAGTGGCAGATCTGGCAGGACCTGCTGCCACAAGCCCGCAGCCGCCCCTGGGAATACAGCAGATCCAGCCCCACTGCTACACAGGGCTGTGGTCTGGAATGACATGAGATACCTGTACCCATCACTGTCACCCCATCACAGTGTGTGGCACCACGTGGCCTCCTGCCATCAGGACTGGGCTCCTCTGCCCACCACCAGCATCCTCAGCATGGCCAGAGCAAACACGACAGGAGGAGGAGCATCTTCAGGAAAGAATGCAAGCACACAACAGAACCTGTACAAGATTGTGCCTTAGGAAAACAAATATCTGGACAAGTCCAAAGCTCATTAGCAGTGAGATGGGTGAGGGGGTCACTGGAAGTAAAATCATTCCTGGCACAGATCCCCCAGACGAGAGCACACCCGCTCTCCATCTGAGCTGCCTCCCAGAGCTGCTCAGCTCAGCTCCTTGCTTCCATTATTAAGTTTAAAAAAACCCCAGAATATTTAATAAAGTGTTTCTGTAGAGAGTAAACTGCCCTTTTTGTTATTCCACTCTGTTTTCTCAACAACAGCAGCCTTCTTGTCAGAAACTTCTGTGCCGGGGTGCCGGAGGTGATGCTCTGGGCACAGATGAATCTGTATCTCCTCTGGCTTTTGAAACTACACAGGGAAGCTACCACCAAACCCTGCTCCCAGAGCTGCTCCAGGTACCACGTTCTCATTCCTGGATGCATCCAGAGGCGA